TTTTTTTTTTGGTACAATAAAGGAGGACAAAAGTCCTAAGCTAGAACTTGGCGGGGATACGACACCCCAGCACTGTCATGATCGAGCCAAACACCTAAACCCTCCGAAGGGGACTCCAAGCAATGCAAACCAGGCAGGTAAGATGCCGCCAAATTCGCCAAATGATCAGCGGTGAAATTCACTTCCCTGTAAACATGGATGATCTAAACATTCCAATCCCGATGTAGAAGCTCGCGGATAGCTCGAACTAGAGCTGCATGTGGTCCCAAAACATCATCAGAGCTGCACACCATGTTTTTCACACAAAGGCTATCAGTCTCAGCAACAACATGCTGATACCCCCTCTCCCAGGCCAACCACAATCCCTGAAACAGGCCTCATAGCTCAGCGCACGTAATAGTGCAAGACCCAATGTTGAACAGAAAACCCACAAGCCATCGACCAACCTCATCCCGGAGTAAACCCCCGGCGCTACTCAAGCCAGTAGCACTAAACACGGCCCCATCGGTATTGATTTTAATCCAACCTACGTTCGGAGGAGCCCATCGGATCATACGCGTCACATGAACAGCCGCTCCAACACGAACATAAGTCGCCACCGCCCGCGTATAACACTCGGACAGTCGCAGCGCCTCCAGCCGCCGTGCCTCTACACCGCACGCCGTGTTCTTAAAAACTCGGTCATTGCGCCATAACCACGCACGCCAAGCCGTAATTGCAAACCTGGTACTCCATTGTTCGCCTCGTCCCCCACATGCTGGAGATAAATTCAGCCGCAGCCATTGTTTGAGAGGCACCCTGAAAAAATTATGTACGTGGTTCGCCGGAACCAATTGCTGCCACAAAGTCCGAGTAGATGGACAGTCGCGAAAAACATGGATGACGGTTTCCAGCTCCCCACAGAGGTCACACTCGGCCACTGTCGTTAGATGCCTGCGGAAACGATCAACATTTGTGAGGAGCCGATCTTTTGTGGCCAGCCACAGAAAAGATCGGGCGCGTTGAGGAGCTGGCGCTTTCCAGATAGCCTGCCACAAAGGCTTGTCAGGGTCACGCTCAGGATTCGAAAGGGCTTGGTACGCCGTCTTCGTCGAAAATCGGCCATCGTCAGACAGCCCCCAAGTTATGCGGTCGGCACCGGCAGCTGCACGAGGAGGTAATGTACCAGCGAGCCGAACTATCACCGACGATGGAAGGAGCCGTGGAGGTACTGCCAATTCCAGCTGCCATCACTATCAACCAAGTCCGCCACCACAGCATGGATGTCGATCAAATGAGCCTGAGAACGAGCGACACGGATGAGTGGGCCACTAGAGTCAAGCCAAGAGTCTAGCCAAAAACGCGCCCTTTCCCCATTCCCCAGACACCACCGAATACCGCGCAGGATATGTAGCCAAACGGTGTGAAGTGCACGCATGAGGTGCGATCCCTGCCGCCCGTGAACAAGCTCTAGGCTCGTCGAGAAATTCAGGCCATATTTCGCTAACAAAACTCGAGCCCATAGAGCATCTGGTTCCGTGATTAAGCCCCAGCCTACCTTCATTAAAAAAGCATCATTCATACACCGAAGATCCCGGATTCCCAAACCCCCCTCAGGCTTAGGTTTACAAATATCCTTCCACGCCACTATTTGAACCTTCCTATGATCCTCTGTACCTCCCCAGAGGAAGGCCCGACACTTCTTCTCAAGCTCATCGATGGTCGCCCTCGGAAGCCTGGCAGTTTGCATAGAGAAGAGAGGAAGTGTACTCAAAGCCGACTGCGTGAGAGTCACACGCCCAGCTAAAGCGAGCGTTTTCATGCGTCATCCGGCTAGACGAGCATCCGTCTTTTCCACCACATGATGAAATGTGTTCTTACTCACACGTTCGTGAAACACTGGCACTCCCAGGTACTTCCCCAGGTCAGTCGTGAGTGTGAAATTTAGTGCCGTCGAGAGCCTGGTACGAATGGGAGCCGACACATTATGGGAAAAGAAGACCTGAGTTTTAGCGGAGCTGACTTTCAGCCCCGATCGGGCACAAAAATTATCAAGCACGTTCCGTAGGGTGACCACTTGATCATCCGAAGCCTCTAAAAAGAGAAGAAGATCATCGGCAAACATCAAAAAAGGCACTGGGACCGCATTTCGGCCAACGGAGATGGGCCGCCACTGTGTCGCCGCCACTAACTAACAAATGGCTTGGGCCAACCGCTCCATGAAAAGAACAAACAAATACGGAGATATGGGGTCGCCTTGACGAACCCCTCTTGTGGGGAGGAACTCCTCACCGATTGTCCCATTCCATAGTAAATTCATGGAGGCTGAAGAGAGACATGCCATGACAGCCCGCACAAACTTCTCAGGACAGCCCGCCATCCGTAAGGTTTCATCAATGTAGTCCCAGCGTAAGTAGTCGTATGTCTTCTCAAGGTCAACTTTAACTACCATAAACCCTTTCGTCCCACGCTTCACTCGCATCGAGTGGATCAGCTCTTGGGCCACAATGTGTTGTCAGTGATCTGTCGTCCCAGTACAAAACTCGCTTGCGCCGGATGTATTAGGGCGGGCAAGGTACTTTTCAGCTTGTTTGTCAGCACCTTTGTGAATAATTTGTAGATCACATTCAACAGACTAATCGGCCGAAATTGTTTGATGGTACTCGGATTATCGACCTTCGGAATTAAAACTAGCAGGGTTTGATTCACTTGGTGAGGAACCAGACCTTGCTGCCACATGTCTCGAATAAGCCTCATAACCGACGGCCCCACAACCTCCCACTGCTTTTGAAAGAAAAAGGCATGTAGCCCGTCCCGACCTGGCGCTTTTAGAGGGCCCATGGAATGTAGAGCCGATGTAATTTCTCTGTCCGTGATATCCTCCCCTAGCCCGCGCATCATATCAACGTCGGTAGCAAGAAACAGGCTAGGCCAAACGGCAAGCGTCTCCGGGCCACGGCTGGTTGTGAAAATCCCTTTGAAATAATCAGTAGCTAGGCGGCTAAGTGCCTCTGGGTCCGTAACTTGAGTGCCGTCGACATCCGTTAACACAGTGATGCGGTTCCGTCGACGCTGGAATTTGATTTGCCTGTGGTAATAGGCCGTGTTCCTATCGCCAAGAAAAGTCCAGTCCCTCGTCGCCTTTTGAAGTAAGAGCAACTCTTCTTGGCGATTAACATCATCTAACTCATCTTGGAGTCGCTTTTCCAGAGGCACAAGATGAAAGTGACGTCGTCTCTGAATCCCATTCAAGCGAGCCAACAGTTTACGCTTGCGATGAAAAATATTCCCGAAGACTTGGTGGTTCCATTGAGTCGCTGCCCCCATAAAACTTTGTGTTGCCGCCAGAAAATCCATTGTAGGCTGCCAAGAACGACGGAGCATGGCATCAAAATCCGGATGAGTAGGCCATGCAACCAAGAACCGGAAAGGCTTCTCCCCAATGGACAAGGGAGTGTGCCGGTCGAAAGCCACCAATAGGGGGAGTGATCGGACTGGATTCGGGGAAGGAGACGAACCCGACTCATTTTGAAGGCATCCAACCAAGCAGTATTGGCCACAAAACGGTCCAACTTCTCCGCCACCCTGCCATAACGAGTGTCCCGTGTCCAAGTAAAATGGTGTCCGTCTGTCGGAACTTCTTGCAGGCTATGATTAAAGATCCAATTCGCAAAATCTTGACTCACGTTACAAAATGCGGATGATCCCCCCAGTTTCTCCGAGCGTCGAATGAGACAATTAAAGTCCCCCCCGATGAGCCAAGGATCTGAAATACCTGTCGCCAAAACTCCCAGAGTAGCCCACAAATGCTTTCGAAGCTGCACGTTTGGGCTAGCATAAACAAAAGTAGCCAGGCATGACAAACCCCCTCTTGAGACCCGCGCATGAATCAGCTGTCGGGAGTAAAGCAACACGTCCACCGATACCCCCTCCTTCCAGACGAGCCAAATACCACCCGAGAAGCCCCGGGCCTCAATCCGAAAGGAGTAATCAAACTTACTAAAGCGAACAAATTGATCCGCCGCCTCCCCACTAATGCGTGGTTCAAAGAGTGCCATAACATCAGGGTTATACTGTCGAACAATGGTGGAGAAGGCTCCCTTAAAAGCAGTCGAGCCTGCACCCTGGACGTTCCAAGTGATAATATTCATGGAAACTGTACAGAAGAAAGGAAGAAACCCATTAGACCAAGCGAAGAACCGGGCCTGTCGGGCTCCCATCCATGCACATAAGCTCCTGTGGCCGGCCATCCGACTGCTCAGCTAATTGCGGCTCCTCCGGCCATGGGTCCTGGTGTCGCACATTATGCTCTTCCTCTACCATTAAAGAATCCTCGTCCGATCCCACACGGTCTAAAGGATGAGGGAAAACGGGCTGGGATCCCTGGACGGACTCATCTGGGACCACGATCGCCCTATGATTAGCCGGATTGAGACCATCACTGACTGGGACAGTGGCGGTTAGGCCCGGGTTTGGAGTCGTGGAGGCAGGCCCAAATTGCCCAGTCCTCGGTTTTTTAGAATTATCCAGCCCACGCGACTAGTGGTAGGCCACCTGCTTCCCTTTATCAGCCTGAATCACGGGCTCGCCCCTGATAACCACGTTGCTCGCGTTGCTCGCCGTAGCCTGTCCCAAAGAGTTTTTGCTAGGTCGGGTTCCGCGCCTTGATACAACACGCCATTCCCGTTCACCTGGATCGCCCGCACCTTGAGCGGGTAGCAAGGACGTCGCCTTATTAGACACCGCCCTAGAAGCACCAAATTTGAATGTTGTAGCCGAGTCCCTCGGCTCCTCCCGCTCCAACAATGCAAACCGGGACCCCCGTCCCGTGTTCGGGGTCGAGGTTTTATCACTTTGCGGCTTGTCAGTTCCACGATCGCGCTTGGAATAAGGCTGTCGCTGGCGTTGCGGGACTTGGATCCAAGAGCCATATCGTTGTGGTTCATCAGTACTGGTCTTAGACGCCGGATTCCCGGCGCTGCTAACCCCCGCAGTAGATGCCTTGGTGCTCACGTCAGGCTAGGCTTTCTTGGGATTAGTGCTCTCATAGAGGCAGGAGCTACCCGAGTGGCCAATTCTCCCGCAGTTAAAACAGATGATGGGCAAGCTCTCATACACCACTCTTTGGTGTCGAACATTAATGGTAAATTCCACGCAGAGTGATTTCGCAAGGTCCACCAACACAGCAAGGCGAGCATATTTACCACGAGTAAGGGCTGCTGTTTGCTGGTCAATCTTCACGACCTTGCCAACAATTTGACCAATCTTGCTAAAAATCTTCTTATGATACAGATGAACAGGCATTCCGGGCAATCGGATCCAAGCAACGGTAGACTTTAAGTCCTCCTCAGTCGCATCAAAGTCGATAGTCCACGGCTGGACATGCATATAGCTATTGATGGGGGATCGCTGATCGATGTGTTTATCTATACGCTGGGTTGTGAATAAACGGCGCACTCAGGGCCTTCGTTTATCCACGATAGGTGTATCTAGCAGACGCACTCAGG